GCTCGGCGGGGCGCGCCGCGCGGCCACACCGGCGGGGACCGCGGGGGACCGGCTATCCGAGGCCAACGGAGGCTTCCGAGACCAACCGAGGCTCCCGCGGCGCTGCCGTATCGTTCCGCCTGGGCGGGATTCTGACTTAGAGGCGTTCAGTCATAATCCCACAGATCCTATTATTTTTTTTTCTCCATAGCACTTATGATCTAATACATTGCATATTCCACTTAAGATTTTTATGTGTTTGTCTATGTTGTCTACTGAACATATTCTCCATGAAGGTAGAAGATACATAAATGCATATGATACATATACACATATACATACATACATACATGTATACATGTATACATACATATGTATATATATTTATATATATATTTAATTTCTGTTTCCTCAGGTCCAAGAGATTCACCTGCTACATAGCAGGTATTCAAATCCTGTATCATAAATGCAGAGGGTTTTTTTAATATAAAGGATATGCCACTTCTCTCTCTAACCCATTCTCTGCCACTAAGCAGACTTCTTTTTCCCCAGTATTCTAGTTGTGCCTGACTGTATTTTCCTGTGCTCTGCCAAACGCATCTTTTCCGTCTGCCACATATATCCATTGACCTCACTCATATATTTCTCCTCTATTTCCCAAAGGGAACCTCTAGATCAAAACCTCATATAACATGCTTAGCTGGGGGAGAAATTCTATTGTGTACATATTATATCAGTAAATAAGGAAGATGGAAATATTTCATTTTTTAAGCCCAGGACATGCGTCCGTTTCTGAGAGTGAAACTTCGTGAAGGTCTTGGAAGGCAATGGGAAGGATAAACCACATGGTAACTGAGGGTGACTTCAACACGGCGAAGTAACCCCAGCCATAACAAATACAACGGTCATTCCGGCTCATGCATAATTAAACACAAAGCCACCCAGATTCCCAGATTGCTTTAATAGGTATCTCACTGGAATCCATCGGCTTCTAAGACACTTAGAAGAGGCGTGTTCCTCACAGTATCACCTTTTCTTCTTTGGCTGGAAAACGTCAAGGGGGGAAATATGAACTCTTGCTCTGTTATCTTTGTCAAACATCATTTTCTCTTTTTGTCAAGTGACTGCAGTGGCATTCTCTCGGTAGCAGCTCTGGCCTTGCAAACTTTGGCTTAATGTTCTGGATCTCTGTATATATTTACAACAAAACAAACAGCTATGTTTGTGGGAATCTGTCATCTGTTGCTTTTTGCTTGAGCTCAGCTGGGGGATAGGAAGAGAGATCAAGTTTTGAGGAGAGAACAACAGTGCCATTTGGACAGCTGCCGGAGTGAATCTCTGAAGACAACAGCTGGGCCAGGTTAGGCCTCAGACTGAGCTTCTTTGGCTTCAAATTGTGACCGAGAAGTAAAAAGAAGGGCCTGTGGGATGGGGTAGTGTGGGGCTGGCACCGATTGTGCTGGTTGTTAAATTCATAGCCTGTCCATGCTGTACTGAAACCTATTACTTCCCACAAGTTCAGAAGGCAGGCTTTTAAAGCTGTTTCTGGGTTTCAAAATGCCACCACTGTCAGAGTGCTTCAAGTTATACAGGGATGGGAAATTTTCTCTCTACACCTACCCTGGAAAATGGTGAGTCCTTGTCTTGCACCAGTCGCAAGCATGCACAATAGCAGTAAAGTCCTTTAACCATCTGACTTCTGTCCCCCAAACAAAATATCCGTCAACTCAGCATGGCTGACACTTGTGATTGATACCAATTTACTAAAGTGCTACCTTCCTCTTTAAGGACTTTTACTGTACTCAATAATATTTCTTGAGTCCAGCTAAGAAGCAAAATGTTTATTGTTTTAAAAGACATATGCCTTTTCAAATAAAAAGTATATTAATCTATTTTATATTTTTTATTGAAGCATAATACATAGGCTGTCATTATTTTATCTTTTCTACCCAACGTCTCATATTAACCACTACTCATAAAAACATGCTGAACATTTTTATTCGTAAACATCAATTAATCGACTGGCTGAAATTTTTATTGCCAAATGTAGAAAACAGAAAGTAAAGCACAAGTGGAAACCCAGCTCGTCAGCCTGTATTCCTGACCTGGCTACGAAGGTGAGGAATTTGGCCACTTTCTTCAAGACTCTTTTCACTTTCTGCAACGTGATGGGGTTTTTTAGGCTTGTTCATCCCCTTCCCACAAGCGGGCAAAGCTAGTTAACATCATTGTCAGTGGAAAATGGGGAAATGTTATTCTTTTCCAAACAGGCTTTCTTGGCTGAGTTTGGAAGGTGTTCCATTCAACACCTCCTTTGAAATTTCATAATGATACTGAACATATTATAGTTTCTGAGAAGTCCTACAATCCCTTTTCAATTTTGTTTAACCCTGAAGTTCTCACACTTTCTTGACCAAGGAATTCCTTCCATAGGGGAATTTCCCCTATGTGTGGTATCTGGGGCAGGATCACAGAGGGATGTGAAAGAGTCAAGCTTTTACAACATGATGAGAAACTATTGGAGGGTTTTGAACAAAGGAAGGACATGATTAGTTATGATTTACAAAGCTCACCTGACTGCTATGTGAGATGTGACTGAAGGGGGCATAGGAAGGTGAATTAGGAGGCATTGCAATAATACAGGTGAGCAAACGACGTGAATTTGAACCAGATGATAAAGACGTAGAAGATGAGAGGACATCACTTTCCAGATGCATTTGGAACAGAGTTTTCAATATTTGCTGACAGATGAGATGTGAAGTAGGAGAAAGAAAAGCCAGGGATGACTCCAGGGTTTCTGCCCTGAGCAAGTGGAAGAACATAGGAGGGACAGATTTGGGCATTTGGGAGTAAATCGTAAGTGTAATTCTAGAGGTGTTAACTTCAAGATGACAATTAGGTGTTCAACAGTAGCCAGGACATTCTCCGGGATCCACTCTCTGAACTTGATTCAGTTCAGTGCAGAGGTTCTCAACTCTGGCTGTGCATTAGAACGGCCTTGGGAGATGCAAAGGGTCCCTTGTCTAAAATGCTCCCAAGCCAATTACCTAAGAATCTCTGGAGAGGACCAAGGCATTGGCACTCTCAACACCCTCCAGGCAATCCCAATGCATAGTGAGGGTTGAGCCCACCAGTTCAGTGATGCCAGTGGTTTCCGGGTTTGGCCTAGTTAGATGTCCAGACAGGTTGGCTGTGTTTTCTGGATGTCAGGAAACTGGAATTAAGGCAGGCATTATTGCTAGGAAACAGCTGCTTCCCAGATTCTCTCTGAATCTTTAAGCACCCTCTCGTTACTTTCTCCACGTTTCAAGAAGTGTCTGGACTTCTTGCTTAGGCACTTTGTTTCACACATTCTTCACTTAAATCAGGCAATACTTATGGTGCCAGGAATCTTCTGGCCCAGGGCCTGAGACTTTCCTGCTGGTCTCTGGAGATCCATAATTCATTACTGAGCTACCTGAAAACAGAAGAGCACTTCAGAGCCTCCCTCACAGCCCAGCCAGCAGCACTTAGAGTTGAAGCTAATCCCAAAACAGTAGGAATCCCACAGCACTGGAGGGGGTGGGGGTAAGAGAGCTATAAAGTAAGACAGTTTAAGGGATTTTTGGTCACAGTGGCCAGTTTTTAGAGAGAAGGTAGAGATACCCTTGGAATCTGAATATTTGCCTCCCTCAGTGAAACCCACGCATGCGGGTACCACTTGGATGGCTAGAGTCTTCATGTGAACACCTTCACATGCACCATGCACACATTCAACACATAGGACGCCTACATACACCCACAATGAACACCACACACACTCCCATCAGGCACCGACACTTCTCTCATCTAAGGCCCCCTCCTAGCAAACCACTCAGGAAAGTGGTTCTGTGAACTTGTTCCCACTGCAGATGAACGAAGGTTACCTTTTTTATTTACTTTCTATGCCCCCAGATAATTTAAGCTTTAACTGATGAACTTCTGGATTTCTGGTCTCATGGCCCTGGTAAGGAAGGGCCCTGGAGGAAGTGTCTTCCCAAGTTCCCATGAAGCTACTTTATTTGGGCACCAATATACCCCATTCTGCTACATAGCCACTCCTGAGTGAGGGAGAAATCAGGAGGAAAAGGGCCCTGCAAACCCCTTTGCCCAGTGGATGGTTTTAGCTAAGGCACTGCTGATTAATTCAGAGCAGAGGAAAGCCCTAAGGTACAATGATTCCTCTTCCCAAGTGTAACAGATGCAATCATTGCCTGCCCACATCCTGTGCCCTGACTTTTTGGGGGTGCAGAAGCTCAAATTTCAAAGCCCACCATCTGTGCTTCTTTGCCTAAGGGCTTTCTCAGGACTTCACCTACTTTGTCTATGCTTCAGCAAACTGGAAGTTCCAATGACCTCACACCACCAAATAGGAACTCTCCATCTCTGAGTGGTGGGAGCTGGCTCCCTGTCCTTTGAGTGGGATAATTCTGAAGCATGCTCTACTCTGTGCTTCTAGGATTCTCCAGCGGGATGGAGCCTACAGTGGTGACTGACTTGATGATATACCCTCTTTTGGCTGCTTTCTTTTCCTGGCCCCCTTTTCCCATAACCCTGCCAATGTTTTCTGGGATCTACCCTGAGATAAAGTACTTACACTGAAATTTTCACTCAGGAATAGGCTCTGGGGGAACCCATCCTAAGACTCTAGGAAAAGGGGGAGGTCTCTGCCTCTGTAAATGACCAAAGACGGACAGAGGTCAGTTGACTCAAAAAGGATCAGAGTCACCAACATGTCTGCAAAACCATTCTGTTATCTAGATTTGAGTTATAAGGAAAATTTGGGAAATGTGCCCTCTGTTGGGGTACCGACCAGAGTGACCATGTGATGGGAAGCAGATGCACCCAGCCTGTGGCCTCACATATCTGCTGGAGGAGAAACGACTATCACTTTCCAGGAGGGAGACAATACAAAAGATCACATAAAACTTTTTGTTGTGTAAGTGACACTGGTTGTTATAGTCAGCAGTCAGAAAG